TTAGTCTGACCCGTCACCCAGGACCTGTTTGCCTTGGGAGACCCTACCAGGGACATATAGCCCCCGACAACATAGCTCCTAGGATCACTTGGGTACTCAAACCCCTCCACCACAATAAGGTGGCGGTTCAAGGAGGGGGCTTCATGTTTTCTGTTGCAGAATTTTGTTGGCCTCAAACTTTATTAGTTATGTAGAATTTGAATATTTCTGACAGCTGATTTTGACCATTTTATCATAAACAATACATTTATATTTACTGATTTGCAGTCAAAACACAAGCTTTGTCTTTGTCATATGGTCCCTGATTAATCATTGAATCCATATTAAACCACATGATGCTTTGAAAAAAACGGATGACTTTGCAGAACTTTTGTGCAAAAGGTAGATCAGTGCTATAAAATCATGTCATATCCTGTTTTTACAGGCATGATGAATTTGGAGGAGTACTTCCAAAGAATTGGGTTTGATGGCTCTCATGACAAACCTGATCTGGCAACACTGAAGCTGATCCACAAAAAGCACATCCTGTCAATTCCATTTGAAAACCTCAGCATTCACTGTGGGGAAAGGATTACCCAGGACCTCGAGGTAATTTTCAATAAGATAGTGAGGAGCGGTCGTGGAGGTTGGTGCCTTGAGAACAACTCCCTGTTTGGCTGGGTGCTCAGACAAATGGGCTATGACACTGTGACCTTGGGCTCCAGAGTTTTCCAGAGTACCATCAATGAATTTGGCCTTGATGACACTCACCTCATCAACAAGGTGGTCATTGATGGAAAGGCTTATATAACAGATGTAAGCTTTGGAGTGTCTTCCCAAATGCGGGAGCCCCTGGAGCTCGTCTCTGGAATGGACCAACCTCAGGCAGCAGGGGTCTTTTGTCTTATTGACAAAGGGGACATGTGGGTGCTGGAGAAGACTGGAAGAAAGCCAGAGGTCATCAATCCAGAATTTGCTGAATCAAGTCTGGTGAGCAGAAAAGTAACGAAACAGATCTATTGCTTCACCATGGTGCCTCGTGAGGCTGATCATTTCTTTGAGGCAAACCACAAACTTCAGACAGATCCTACTTCACTATTTACCTGTAAATCTATCTGCTCCTTGCAAACACCCACAGGATTCCGAGCCCTGATTGGCTG